TAAATTGATCAAATACATTTTGAAAGTGTTTAACATTCATTACTCTTATAGGAATTGAAATTAAGATACACCGTATATGAATTTTAGTTTCACATCTGAAATCGTACCAAATTAGACGGTCTGTCCTAAACGGCAATACCTACTTCGAGATGCATAGAGGGGAAATAGATCTAGTCCCCTTATTGCTTATATGTAGACTCCTCCGCGCAACTCGAAGTAGATATTGCGGTTTGGACAGACAATTCGAGCACCTAATGCACAACCTGTAACGCTTTTTCAGGATCTACATTGTACATTTAGAAAAATTCGAGGTGAATTTGACTGCTGAAAAAGAAATTTTTGTTTTGAGAGGAAAATTTCTCTTCTAAATTAAATGTTATACTTGAAACAAAAGTATTACTCTTGAATTGAGAGTATTTTTCTCTTTTCAAGAGAACCGTAATAAAAGGATTAGTTTAACAGGAGAATAATCTTTTCAGATTAACAATAATATTCTACGAACTTAGAATAATCTCTTTGGTTTAATAGTATTTCTCTAATTTCTAAGAGGATTTTCTATTATAGAATTCGCACATGCGCATTACTTCATATCAATTATGTCACAAGTTGTGAATATTTCTTCTATCCAAATAGATTTTAGGTTACAGGTTTTTAGGTCTTACATTAATGATTTGCATAATGTTTCTTTGACAAAAATTTTATAAATTTTGTGGTTGTGCATTTTAAAATTAGTAACTTATATATGTTTTGCATAGAAAAAGTTATAAAAATAGATTTAGTTGATTCACACTTACAAGAATTAAAATCGATTAAAATGTATTTATATTCAAACAATTGTAAATTATAGTAATATATCATCGTATTCTATTCAATTTCAGAGATCTAACCTAAAAGATACAAATTAGATAATCGCAATTTTATTATTTCAATGCTTTTTTTGAGAGATTATTTTCCTCATCTTGATTTAAAAGTATCCTCTAATATTAAGAGTAGATCTTATAAGAGTAGAATCTTATGTAAATGACAGTCCTCTCAAATTAAGAGGACATCCTTTCTTCTAGCCATATTCTATAGGAAAATATGCATAGAAATAATAGGAATCTTCTCAAAAGAAGAATATTTTTTTAGTGTATTAAAAATCATTCTGATTATGGTATTTTTAACTAACTATGGTTGTTTTCAATTCCAGTATTTTCAATGTATTTCTAATTATTTTAAATATTTTTCTTTATTTTTTAAGTACTTTAAAAAAAATTGGACAGATATAGTTGCACAGTTAACTTGAAGGTATCTAATTGTTAACGGTGTGAAAAAAAGTTTATAAACATTGTGTTGTAATTTTTTTATTGTTTAATAATTTGTCTTTATATTGTGGTTTTATGAAACTAAAGTTAGTTGCATCAATGAAATTTTAAATTAATAATAATATACAAGTAACTATAGTTTTACAAAACTACTTCCTATATTTATAACCTTTACATTTGTTTTTAAAAATATCAACCAAAGAATTGAATTGTTGGCAGAAAGTGACCTTCAAATCTCGAATTGATGAAAAATTGAAAAATTTGCATAAACATTTTCAACATTTTCAAAATCGAAAAGTTGTATTCAAGCTTTAGCTATTTAATAAACGGAATTATCTTGTAAGAACATAACGTACACGGAAAAAAATCAATGGTTGCCACAGCCATACCTTTGGTTGTCTCAACCATATTATATTGAAAAATACGTCCCAACCATACCTCCGGTTGCTCCAGTCATATTAAATAGCTAGCTTTAAATTGTTAGCACAACTAGAATATATGGCTGTGGGAACCATATATTTGGAAAACATTTGAAAATTTCATTAAATAGAAATTCCAGTGAATTCTCTGGTTAAATAAAAATTACTTATTAAATTTTGACATTTTTTGCACATTGAAAATTGTGACTAATGAATTTTATTGAATCTGAAAAAGCATACATTAAATTTATCTTGTTTGAATTTTGTAATTCATAAGGAACCTTTCAAGTATATCAGCATTTTAACTACATTATTATTTAATACTTTATATAGGAAGCTTGATCAACTAATTTACGTAACGCATCCTTTATGAATTATACAACATTTAATTCTCTAATTCTGTTTTCTATTTAAGTCTCTCTCTCTCTCCCTCTCGCGCCCTCCCCCCTTTCGAAGCACTCATGTTCGCGCTAAGTTCAAGTTGAAAGTCGGCGCATCCAAGGTCGCGCCGACCTTCGTGTCCCAGCTCGATCCATATTGCTCACTACTCAGTTTGGTGTTTCCATTCTATTCAGACTAGTTCGGCATTTGGTCCGCCCGCAAGGTTTTATAAAAGTACCAGTTTATAACATAAGAGTTGTCGTCATCGTCGTTGTCTAATTAAACGCACTTTGTACTATATATTTTTTTTTTCTAAGAAATAATTGCCAGTTTTCATTCAGCGTAATGGCGTTTCCAGCATCAATTAGTTATTAATATATGTTTATCTTATATATCTAACAAAAATGTATGTGGCACGAAGCAAAAATATTAAAGCTGACATTTTTGCTGAAAATTATAGAAGATGGCGTAAAAAAGTGAGGTTTCGTTCATTTAGTTAGACTGCTCAAGAATATATTTTTTTTTCTTATTTTAAAGCGTTCATGATACTTTAAATAAGTGTGACGAACAATTGACAAAAAAAATTTTCATTATTTTGCAAGTTATTTGTAACTTTTTTCCGGAATTTTTATCTTATAAGCTATATTGATAACGTAAAAATAGTTTTTGTTATTAAAATTTTTAGGAAATATATTGAAAAATAATATTTTTTTAAATTTAACTAAAATTCCTTTTTGAACCATTTTTTAAATAATAATTTTTCATTGTTTTTTTTTTTTTTTTTTTAATATTACCGACTATGGAAATTAAAACAAAATTTTTAAAATAAACTTTAGTATTTAGTAAAAATATTAGTATAAAAATGATGCTTTTTTTGGGAGAAATAAATTTTTAAAAATTTGCTCATGTGGTTTTACGAGTCTGTTATCGAAATTCGATATCTAATATTGAATTTGATAATTTTCAACTGTAAAGAACGAAAAAAAACTTGCTTTTCTGGGAATAGTTTTACTGGCTGAAGATCGTTTTGATATAACATTTTTTAAAAATGTTTTTATGATTATCATATTCGTACAAAAATCAAACATTACTGTGTGAAACTTATTTTAATTAATTTAATTTAATATTAATTACATTAAATAAATTTAAGAATTATTAACAATATGTTAATTTATTTAAAATATTGTAGAAAAACACAAAAATATTAATTTGAATACATTATTTACCGAGTCACAATTATTTCTCATTGCTGAATTGAAGAATCTGATGCAATGTCACGCAAGCCGCACCGACAATTCAATACAGAGTAAACTTTAAGAAAAAATTTCCAGAAAAAAGAGAAATAATTTTTATACTTGCGACATAATTCTCACAGTTTATCTTTAAAAAATCGAACATCATTAAACATCGTTGAAAATAAAGAGAGACAAATTATTGTTTTAAAAAATAGTTCAAAAATTAGTTTTATTACAGTAAAGTAAATTGTAAAATAAAACAATTACAAACACAGTATTTTTATTTAAGAATTTAATGTTTTTGTTGCGAGAAAAGAAAGTTTACAATCATAATTTAATTTAATATTTAACACCTTCCATTTCGATTAGGGTATACTTTTTCAAAAAAATATTTTATAATTTTTTTTTCTAACAAAGTTGAAATTATTTTAGAAGTAAATTTTACTATTTCCGGAGTAAAAATTGACAGAAATGCGCAGAAATTGCGCGGACAGTACAGGTTTTACTTTTAAAGTAGTAAAAGTTACTTTATTCGTTTTTCCATTTTTCTCCGTGCAAACAACTTTGGAGAAGTCTTATCAATTGTTTTTGTATTTAAATCAAAATCAGTAAAAATTGTTAAAATCGAACGTATATTGTAAAATTTTAAATTGAAATAAATATAAAGAAGAAAATGGTTGTGAAATTTTGTACATATAAAAGGATGTTTATATTATTTTCAAAGGGATAGGAAGATCATATTGGAAAAACTATTAAAAAAATGTATTTCACAAAAAACCTTTTAGAAATTTAAAGTTTTTATTAAAAGTGACCACCTGCCCTTATTTCTTTAGCATCAAAGAATTGTTATACAGAAGAGAAAAGGAAGGTAAAAGAAGTGTCGACAAAAATAATAAGAATTTTAAGATTTTTTTTGAATGCATATATTAAAATTTAATTTCCTTGAAAAAACATGCAGGTAGCGTCATAAAGAATAAAATTATTGACAAAATTGATCGACATAAATAAGTTGGTATCAATTCAAAGAATTTTTTATTTAAAGGAATTTTAATGTATTTATTATTTGATAATGCTTTGTTGTTTGATGTAAAAAATATAATTTTTTTTTGTAAATTAAGTTACTATTTATGTGGTTCCAATTTTATATTAATTTTAATATTTAAATAATTTGTACATTAATTGTAATTATATTAATTAATTATAAAAAAATTGTCCTAAAATCTTCATTTATTTATATTTTTTTGTTTATCAATAGATGAAGATGATTTGAATAAAAATATATCCATTGTTATCGCTACTGGTATTGGAGCAACACATACAATTTTACTCTTTCAAAAAGTATTAGAAATGAACAGTAAAAAGTTTAATGGAAGATATAAAAATTTTGAGAAAAATTTTGTAATTTAAAATTAAGAAAAATTTTGTTTTCATATTCAATTACACTTTTATAAAATAATAAACATAATTTCACTTTGGCCTACTCTATTTTTGTACTGGAATTATTGAAAATTATTTTTACAGAAATTGAAATGCTAAATAAATATAGTTAATAATTACAATTCATTAATAGTCTGTGTACAATTGGAATGAGGAGTGTAGGTCCTAAAAATGTGAAGAATAGAAAGTTTTTTTTACAGACAGATCTATTATTTTTGTTTCAGGTGATAAATTTCGATTAGTCTTAGCCACAACTCTTCGCGAAGATGGCTACCCTGATGGTGGCGAGTGGAATGCTTTGGATCAAGAGGGTGGCTCGCGAGCTGATAGCTTCGAATACGTTATGTCTGGAAAGGTATACCGGATAGAGGGGGATGAGGCCAACAACGAGCCCAGCAGTAGACTGTAAGTAGTTACTATATTATATACCTACTCATGTAAATAATAGTAGAAACTTGAGAATTTAAAAAAAAATTTCCGATGCTAATAAGTTCTTTAAGGAATAAATACTTAATTAATATAATTTTATTCATAACATAATAGGTACGATATAACAGAAAATGCATTGAGACTCATGAATATTCCCCACACTAAATTTGTTGAAATTTCTACGCTATCGAAATTAATAAAAATTAATAAATTAATTACTTGATAAATTATTATTAATAAATCAGTTAATTAGTAGATTAATAATGTATAAGTTACCAAATTTTATCAAGTAGAATTTATATTGAATTGAATTTTCATATTTAACTATTTTTATTTGACTGAATTCATAATTAAAGGCGAATTTTTATTTAGTCGAATTTTTAAAAAACATATTTTCTTATTGATCGAATTTTCATTGAATATAATTTATATTTAACAGAATTTATATTCTGAAAAATTTCCATAATACGGAATGTTTAATTGACATAATTGTTCTTTAATCTACTTTTCAGAGTTAGAATATTTACTTAGCAGAATTTTTATTTAACTGAATTCATATTTAAGAGAATTTTTATTTTAAAAAAATTAATATTTAACAAAATTCTCATTTGACAGAATTTTGCCTAAGTTTAATTTTTAAAGGCCAGAATTCTTAACTCGCTGAAGCATCAATTGCTAGAATTTTTATTTGTACAAATTCTCATTTGATGGAAATTTTAAAACGTCAAATTTTCATTTCACCGAAATTGCAAATAGCTAAACAAATATCCGACATAAAAATTTTGGCGGGAATTTTAAAATTAATTAATCACAATTTTCTGAATTATTTTTGACTGGTTAATTTTAAAATTCGCACCAAAACTTTTTCGGTGCGATGAAAATTCGGTGATTTGATATATAATTCTCTCAAATGACCAATTGTATAAATAAAACTTTTGACAAATAAAGTTTCGCTGAAATGGAAATTCTACTATTTAAAATTTCGACTAAGTAGAAATTCTATTAAAAGAAAATTCTGCTAAATAATAATTTGTTTAAATAAAAAATTTCTTTATTGAAAATTCAGTTAAATAAAAGTTTTGTCAGATAGAAATTATATTACATGTGAATTCAGTTAAATAAAAATTTGTAAATATGAAAATTCGAATGAATATAAATTCTACTTTATAAAATTTGGTAACATAAAAATTCGAGCTAATTAATTTTGAAACCGTAGAAATTCCAACAAATTCACTGTGGGAAATATTCATGCATCTGAAATTATTAAAAGGAAAAATTTTAAATGTAAATAATAATATAATTAATATAATTAACCGAGGTGTCGAAGGTTACACCAGTTGACGGTAAATTAAAGTCAAATACATGATCCAAAATAATGTATAAATTTTTTAAAAATATAACTCTAAACGCCGTGAAGATGAAAATCTCTTTTAAAAGTATATCGTCCCCTTATATTAAAGCCAGTAAGTTATATATATTGTATAATACTTACTGGAACTGAACGTGTTTCGTTGGGTTGTTACATAACCGGAAATGCAATCATTGTATTAGATCAAATTTAGCCAATTCTCTCCTATAATTATAGAAGGCTAAATTTCATCTAATGTACTTGCAGATGATTACTTTTAGAAACTAAATTATATATCATGTGGGTTAGAAATATTCCGATATTTTACAAAACTGACACCAAAAAAAAATCAAAATTTAAATTTCACAATATCTTCTTAAAATTAGAATATAATATACTTAAATTAAGAAAAAATTCTTAAATTAAAAACTATTTTTTAATTAAATAATTTAAAAATTCTTGTTTTTCTGAAAAAATATATACAAAGGAGTGTTTAATTAAAAAAATTTCAATATGCATCGTTAAATTTAGGCTATAAATAATATGATTAGCTGTAATTGGCCATCAAATGGAGTTTGGATTAACGTTAATAGATGGCAGCACGTAATTAGTAAACAATTTAAATTATCCTTGAATAAAAGATTCTTGTAGCAATATCACATACTTTGTTTTATTTAAAATCGCAATCAGCTCAAATTCATTACTAAAATATTTTTATTATCATTTATTCTGGAAATATTTTTATTTTCTTGATTTGAAACAATATTAATTTTCATAAAAATTGCAGTACATAATTCAAATGCGTAATATGTGTAAAGAATCTAAACAGACTTGATCTGACTTAATATAAAAGGAGTTTAAATTAGACTAACAAACAACGATTAGTGAATTGGATTTTCAAGTTTTTTTTATAAAGAAAAAGAGGAAGAAGAAAAACTTAAAAAGGGTCAACAGCATTTGAAGAAGTTTTCTTTTAACCTCATGGAAGATACACAACACTGTAAAAGTGTAGGAAGAAATCAAGTCGTCGATAAGGGCGGAAAATTGCACTTAAAGAACAGGGAGCCACTCTGCGTTCACTCAGTAGGTAATGAAGCGGGTGAACACAGCTGGTGGTATCTCAGTTTTCTGAGGGCGCTGTCAACTCACATTTATCAACTTCCTGTAAAAATGGTCAACATTTTTTATGTCTTATTTTTTAAAAAATTATGTTTATCTATTATTTAGTAAAGCCAGTAAATTTTAACACTTTTGCAAATTTTTTGGTCACTAGTTTCTCAACAAATTTTTTCTCAATTCTTTGGAAATTTTTAAATTAGGAAAATAAAAAATAGAGAAAGATGATTAAAATTATATTTAAGAACTTTAATTTCCTTTAAATAGTTTAAATTTGTAAAATTGTAAAATTCAACTTTCGATTGTAAAACGCTATTCAAAGAACTTAAAACAATTGTTTCTAAATTAAAAGTTATTTACATTTTACTATTAATAATACGCATATAAAAATGATAACTATTCTGGTAACGAAATGATTCAAGGTCAAAGATATGGTGTGTTGAGATGAGGTGACAGTTGAAACATGAATTATTGATCGAGGTCGATCAGGTTTTAGATTTAAATATGACTACATATAATTATCAGCCTGGTAATTTTTTTTTTAATTATATATTCTACGAAAGGGCATTTTTTAAATTGTTTATATTACTAAATAAATAAATATTGTACGAAGAAGAAAAGGAACAAAATTTCGATTAAATTATACCAATAATTAAAATGTTACTGTTGCTATAAATCAAAATTCGATGTTAGAATTTAAATATTCAAAATGACGGATTTAAAATGTCGACAAAAAAAGTTAAAAGTTGATAAATCTTTATGTAAATGCGGTTACTCGTGGTTCTAATATGGAAAATTTTTTTTAATTCATCGAAATCTCTCGAAAATACTTACCCTTGAATTTTCCGAGGCGCTGATTACAAATTTGAACTACGTGCAAGAAATTAGCAACACCATTTTGTTTTTTCAAAAAAATAATTTTTGTGCTAATTTGTGCTGCAAAATTTTTATTGAAAAAATAATAATTATGACTCAAATTTAAAAAAAAAATAAAATTAATTAATAGATTGAGTCGTGAGGCAAATCAACATAATAGTAACCTCAATTTTTTCGGCGTTTCAATCAACACCTTCGTCCGAGAGTTACAATATTTGATATATTATGATAATAATAATGCAAGTGTGGCCACACAATAATTACTGTAATTCTTTTTTTTGTAATATTCAGTACATTGTACTAATGGGCAGTGTAATTACTACCCGTCTGAAATGAATAAATAAATAAATAAGTAAAAACCATTTTTAAGCTCAAAAATACCACTTCTATATGTAATTAAAAATAAACAATTGTGAAAGACCAAAACAATAAGAAATTCTTACAACAATTTTCAAAATTTTTAATAAACAAAAATTAAATTAATTCAAATTTAAATTCAAAAAACGATTTTTTAATCCAGAAATATGTATTCGAAGTTATTTTTTTTCAAAAACAAATTTTGTGCTGAATTATCTTTGTTGTGATGAACTTGCAGAATTTATCACAAAATTTTGCATTGAAAAATAATAATTTTTTAATTTATTTCTAAAAAAAATGTTTTTTTTTTTTAAATTTAAATTTGAATTATTTTGATTAATTTATTATTAATGTTATTAAAAAATGTAAGAATTTCTTTTTGTTCTGGTCTTGCACAAGTGTTTATTTTTAATTGGATATAGAAGTGGTTTTTTTTATAGCTTAAGAATGTTTATTTTTAATTTGAGTCTTAATTATAATTTTTTGAACAAAATTTTTCCAGCACAAATTGGCACAAAAATTATTATTTTTTAAAAAATTGAAATGGCGTTGCTAACTTCTTGCACGTAGTTTTTCATAAAAATCTGATTTTATAATTTTTTCGTTCACCATTTTGTATTTTCAAAATCTTATGTCAGATTTGTAATAGAAAATAACTACCGAATAATCATTTTCAGATTCATCAACTTTTAATGTCTTTTAATTGCATATTGATATTATTATCATGATGAATATGAATTAATTGGCTCTTGTGATTAAGAGTTTTTTAGAATGATTATTCCATAAAAATCACTAGTAAGAATTTTGATTTGAAAGAATTTTATAAGATATAATTATTTTGTAGACGAATTTTCATTTTTCGAAATAGAATTTGACACAAATTCTCTTTTAAACGAATTTTAAAGAAGAATTCTTAAAACGCCGAATTTTTATTTGTCCGAAATTGCAAATGGCCGAACAACAGAAAGATTTCAGCGTTTTTTAAAATTGACAAATCACGATTTTCTTGACAATTTCTGATTGGTCAATTTTAAAAAACGAGCCGAAATCTTTCTGTTGTTCGGCCATTTGCAATTTCGGACAAATAAAAATTCGGCGTTTTAAGAATTCTGTACAATAAAAATTCGTTTAAAAGAGAATTTGTGTCAAATTCGAATTCGAAAAATGAAAATTCGTCTAAAAAATAATTATATCTAATAAAATGCTAACTAATGATTTTTATGGGATAATCATGCGCCCCTTTTCGATTGGTCGTCTATTTTGATGAAGAGATGAAATT